CCCCCCATGACCCTAGCGAGGATTAAGCGGTGTATAGATAATGAATCAATAGATAAACATCTCCTGCTTCCCAAGCATTGTAATGACCTAAGAGTCAACTCTGGAAAGAGCAGTAATATTCCAACCTGCTGAGTGCAGCCCTGCCAAGCTGCCAGTGTTTAACATTTGAAAAAGACCTTTATTATGGAATTACCGATTGGCAGGAGCTGCTAGGGGAAGTCTGCATGTTCCCTTGTGTCTTTGTTGGTTTTCACTGTGTGTTCTGGCTTCGTCCCACAGTCCAAAGTCATGCACGGTGGGTAAATTAGTGATTCTAAATCGTCTGTGTGAGCATGCACGGTTGCCTTTTTCATCATGTTACCCCTGTGAAGGACTTGTGAGCTGTCCAGAGTGTATCCTGGCTCTTGCAAAAAATCAGCTGGGATAGATTCCAGCCTCCTGTGACGGATGGACGGACAGATGAGGGGTGGTGCTGCTCGCATGTGTTTTTAAAATATACCCCTTGCTCATGAACAAGTGTGTAATGTTCAAGCAATTAGCTGCACTTTCCTCCAGGGGCTTTTCTTGTTTAATGTTAGCTCCACCATTTCTCCTTCTCCCTTTCTCTCTAATCCATTCTTTCTCCATACTATTCGCCATGCACACTGACAGAAGGTTGTGTTGATGCGTACATGTAGACTTTATACGATCAGGCTACAAGCAGGGGAACAAGGGAAGTCTTCAGTAGTTTTACTATTTATCTACCCCCATTGTTCCCACCTTTATCTTCTCACCTTTTGAACTTGTCTTTTTTGTCCCTGATGTCGTCAGCCTCGTTGTGGTTGAAGAGTTCAGCGATCCGTGTTGCCAGGTTGCTATTGATACAGTTCATGTTGCAGGGAGTGGAAACAATGGCGCTCATGTGTTTGTGGCAGTACTGGATACACTCCTCCACCTGAACGTGGAGAAACACACAGAACTCTTTAAGACTTTCACATGAATGGTAAATGTCATTTCAATGATCTTGAATAAATAATATCCAAACACTACTTAATTCAATTGTAGCTCTTCTTGTACAGCTATAATAAGTAAAATAATAGTAAAAAAAAAAAAAATGTACTGCAAACTTTCTAACTAACACTTGGAGGCAAAAAAATAAATAAAAAAATCTACACTTTTCACATCCATGCAACACTAAGTTAACAAAGCTCTATCTACAGGCCTCTTGTTTTTCTTGGATTAGAAGAGATCCTAATTATCAGCTCGGAACAGTAAACACATTTGCAAGCTGCCAGCGCTTTTTTTGGGAAACTCCGCACATTTGATATAATTTCGGGAATATGTTGTTGATTTTTTTTTTTTACATTTGAAAATCAAAGGGCCTGAAGCACATCACCACACCTAGCGTCACATGTCACAACACTTACTAACGTATCCATCTTCAAGAACTCGGAGGAGATCAGGATTGAGATCACATTGCTGGGCTCTGTAACCGACAAACACCACATGACCAACCAAGCAAACCCCACAACCGACAAACAGCACAGAACACGCAGCCAGTGACCCACCAAACACACACCACGTTCAGTGACCCATAAATCAAGCGCCATCCACGGATTTACACAAACAGGTGGTGTAAGTGACAGCTCAGGCATGTGTAAAAATGTGATATCTATTATTGTTTTACTGTTTTTTTTTTTGTTTGTTTTTCCTGGGTTTTACCGAGCCGAGGTTTGTCCTTGTTCCCCTCTCCTGCAGAGTTCCTCCTGACGTAGTTCATGAGCCAGTCGAAGATCTGCACGTCACAGTGAACTGAGATGTCCACCTCCTCCCACCTCTGAGGGTCCACAGACAAATACTCAGCAAAGTAGCGCATTTCTTTGACCAGGAGATCTCTGGGACACGTGAAGTCCTGCTTCAGGTTCTTGGTCTCATCACACACGTGGATGACCATGTTGGGACTGCAGGAAAAAGTTCACATGTATTGTTTTTAAACAGCATTCCTCACATGCAGCTGCACTGTAGGTGAGAAGGATAAATACTAAAAAATACTTTGAATATGGGGTGGAGTATATTTTACAAATAGAGCAGAAGGATAAATAATTTTTAAAGAATCAATGAGCATTTTTCTTTGCTGGGTTCAGTGTTCTAAGAAACAGCACTCTGAAGACATCTTGCGACGTACTCTCGTGGTTTCTGAGGTTTGTCTTCTTCCTCTACCGAGACTCTTTTCTCTTTTTTCTCCACAGCACCACTCCTTCCTGAAGGCGTCGACTTGGAGCCTGCAGACACCAGCAGAAAAAGAGCAAACCTTGATATTTAACACCAGTGAATATCAGCACTACAGCTACAGCGCTGCTCTAATATATTAGATTCTTTCACTAGTTTTTGTTTTCTATGAGCCTGACAACATTTCTATTTACCAGGTCAGCTGTGCCTGAGCATAAGGCTTAGTCAACATGTTCAAATTAACTCTAAACACCTCATTTGATGCAAGCTTTTCTTAAAGAAACACTAAATGCATCTTATATTTATTAAAACTCCAGTGATTCCTTTGAGAAAACTAAGCTGTGAGCAGCCAACGAGTAAGATGACAACCAATTGCAGCTCATAGTTCTATTTGCACCAGCAAAACAAACTGAGTAAATAATAGGTTTGAAACTTTCATTATCCGTTTTATCTGATTTAATTATTAATTGATAATGTTTGAGTTGTTGCTTCAAAGTTATACTTTTTAAGAGAAATCAAACAGAGCCATTACTTTTATGTGGTTGGACTGTACCATTAGCACCCAGAGGAGTGACCGTTGGCCAGCCACAGACACAGGAGTGCAGTTACATTAAGAAGCCTATAAAGCAAATCTGACGATGCAATAAGTTACTGGCTGCACCGCAGACAGTCTATGGGCTGCATTTTAAAGTCAAACGTGAACAACTAACAATTAAACAGAGAGATAATAATCCATTTGTGAAGTAATCAAATAAAATCGATAATGAAAGTTTTTCATTGGACTCATTTTGATGGCACAAATTAAACAGAAATCTGCAAAGCATTACATGAAACTTTAACAGGGTTCAGAAAGGCCACACACAGGAGGAAACAGCTTAAAATCATGATCACATTAGGCAGAGTATGATGGGGTTAGAGTTGGTTAGTTATGTCTTCTTTAAGGCCTTTTATAAGCAATCTGATTTAAGACTTAAAATGATTAAACAACTAAAACAGATGTGTAAGTCATTAACAAAAAAAATATTTTAACAACCAGTTCTTGTGAGTTAAAGCAGCTGAACTGAAGACGGAGAATGGCACGAACAGACCTGTAACTTTGCTGCTGCTCTGGCTGCTTCCTCTCTCCACCACCTCGCCAGTGTCCAGCAGCGTGGACAAGCCGTCTGACGGGGAGGTGCTTCCTTCTGTCAGGGTGTTGCATTGGTTGTCCACGTGAGGGAACCCCCCCGTGCTCTTCAGCTCCTCAAATCGACGGGCGCACTAAGATCACATCAGTGCCACAGAGTTACTTCACATTAACACTTCAGGTCTAATGATACTAAACCATGGAGCGGCAGATGGACGGGATGGGACATGTGGAGAAGTGGGTGGATGGAAGCATTCATAGTTACCCAGCATTCCAGTTACCTCCTTGGGAGTGAAGCCTGGTACCAGCTTGGCCACATTGTCCCAGTTTATGGGCTGAGGCACTCCCCACAGAGAGCCCAGCACCATGTCCAAAACTAGGACGTTGTTGTCATACGGAAAGTTGTTGTTGTCCGAGCAGAAGCGACTCATCTCTACACAGACGGAGAAACAAAACGTGCAGCAAGTCAGCAACACAAGTCCTGTTTGATCATCCTCTCAGAAATGTTTGGTCAGTCTACAGAAAGTTTATTGGCAACCTGAACTGCAACAAACAATTATTCCAATTGTTGATTAATTTGTCAAATATGTTCTTGACTAATCAAGTAGTTGTTTAGTCTTCTATCACAAATGTGAAAAATGTAGATCAGTGTTTTCCAAAGCCCAACATGGCGTCCTCAAATGTTGTCCACAACCCAAAGATGTTCAGTTTGCTGTCACAGAGGAAGATGGAAATTTAGAATTTGAGTTTTGACTACTTTATCTTAAAAAAATAAAAATAAAAAAAAATATGAAAAAAAAAACTACACAAATGAAGCATTTATCAACATAGCTGCTGATTAATTTTGTCATTGAAAACTGAATGAATGATGGATTAATTACTTCAGCCCTGGCGGCAAATCCAAAAAATTGTAATAAATATAAAGAATTAAAAATAAACAAATAAATAAAACTTCTTAAATGTGAGGCTTTAATGCTTTTCTTTGTCTTTTGATAATAAATTGAACATTTTCTGGTTTTGGCCTGTAGGTCTGATAAATGCAGTGTGTTCATGACATTGTAAGGAACTATTTTCCCTGATTTACAGCATAGATGGCACACTGATGGAGAAAATAATTGCCACCTTATTCAAACGTGACTAGCAGTAGCAGCCTTTTTATTTTAAAAACACTTAAACTCACTTGTGCAAGTTTCCATTAAGTTTAACCTGCTTTTCATAGGCTATCTTTCAAACTGCAAACTCATAATTTTCGCATGCATCGCGAATAGTCTAGCCAAATTTACAAATGTATTTAAAATCAATTTTGCAGATTTTTCTCTGGACATTGTTTGGCATCATTTAAAGTTACTACGGTTTTCTACCACCACACACATCACAGGGCAGCACATCCTAAAGGCTGAGCAGAGCTTTTAGCTACCATAATGGTAGCTGACAGACGAAGAAGAGGTCGAGGTTTTACACAGAAACAATTACTGATACACGTATTTAACAGAGATGTATGGGCTACAATCGAGACTGTGAGTAGTGATGCAGGCCGAGTCCCTGTCCTCCTCCTGCTGCATCAACACCACCAGCTTTTAGGTCAAATTAAACCAGCTGTTTCTTTTCCACACATATTCAAAGAGCAAGAGGAATACATACTTATCCCGTGTAAAAGAAATCCCTCACCGTCGTCTCGTACAGTAAACTAATCTGGTGAATATTTTATGTCATCGTGTATGGATGATGCTGATGCTGCGGTCCTCTCCTGCCGGCTAGCTGCATCCTCTGCTAATGCTAGCTAACTTTGCGGGACGGGACAGGATCTGCTGCCTTCAGGTACTCCGCGTAAACTCCTAATACGCAGCCTCACGCCACACGTTACGACTTCCAGTAATGTGACCAGTCGCATATTATCACTCAAGTCCTGTTGGATGCTGTTGTGTCCTTCAGTTTGGGTGATTTAAACCTGAACGTCTGGATATCCACAAGACATTGTCAACTTTACTACTCGAGTCGTTTGAGGAAAGTAGTAGTAGCAGCACGGCGTATAATCTCTCAAAACATCTGAACACGTACAATGAGTTAAACAATTTTCTGCGAAAATAAATTACAAGATCTAGAAGGAGCGTTCAGGCTAAACTCCACTAGTAAATTCAATATTTCCTACAGTCGTTGAATGCAGCATTAGCTTTATTTAGCTAGTATAACTGCTAGCTTAAGTAGCTCCTTAGCTTTGACGTTGGTGTATTCTTAAGCCCAGTAACACGGTGGCATAGACTGTTCCCGGGAGAAATACTATCGACTGGTCACGCTGTCAACATATGAACGAAGCGGCCATGTCCTAAAATACTTCAGACGAATAAAAGCCTTTCGGTTTCGTCAGTATCTGCAGCGCTGACTCGTCCCAGTTGTCGCACTGCAGCAGGTTAGGCGTCCTGTTGCTCAGTGACGGCGGCCGTAAATGCACCGTTTCTGTCATAAATCATCCTTACGTTTTTCAAGCAACAGGACAAAGTTACATTAATAACACAACAGCTCTCTCTGTCTCCACATACAGCCAATAGTGGATCCTGTTCAGAGGGCTACACACATATTCATTCTCTATTTTTCCTGGCAGATTTATTTATTTCATTACTCCATGGCCATTGTTCCATACAGCTGCATTTAACAGAGAAACCACCTGTTACAGCCACAACCAGAAAATGTGTCCACTGACTTTGCAGCAGTTCAAAGATATGTCATTGAAAAGTGTATAGACCAAAATACATCTGTTCTCTATATGTAAATGAAGATCGTTTGCTTGTGTTTAATAAATTAAAGTGTGTATGATTTAGGTTCAGCTGTGGATTTAGATCAAGCTCTTGTACAGACTCTGAAGACTGCAGTGATGAAATCTACTTTGAGGAACTCAGGAAACAAGTGGTGCAAACTGCTGAACAATACAAGACTGCAGCCAAAAGAGAGAAACTAAATGCTGGCTGAGCACAGTGTGATGAGTCGACTGGCAGAGTGTCCAGAGCAGAACAAGGACACAGTGTTTTACATTTACATATCCTATGAGCTTAATCAATAATTCAGAGAGCATACCTTTCGCAACCATTCCAAATTTAATCAGTTGTGGGTTACATTTAAAAAGCTTACACTGTACATGAGCTACATGGCAGTCCTACCTGCATATGCATATTATTGAAAAATGGGTGATCAAAAAAAAAAGACAATGGAGCCTTAAGAAAAACAAAACAAATAAAAAAAAACTACACAAAGAAACAAACAAAAACAGAACATTGTGCCACCCTAGCGTGAGTAATGTTCTCAGCCTGGTCATCCCTATACAGATTGTGACTCTGACACTCTGTTACAGTTCTGCTATGTGAAAACCCTGATAAAGTCTGTAGGATCCAGCTTCCAACCCATTTTAACTCAATAATGATACTGTGTAACACAATGGACAAAATAAGATTTTTAGAAATATTTATTTTCAAAATAATTATATATATATTTACAAAATTACATGATGTGACTAAGAAACGGTTCAAAATGTGCAAAATTAGCCGCTTCTTATTCTGGATTAATCTTGTTTGCTTCCCACAGAAGACAACACAGAAGGGCAGCCTTTAGGCGAGAGAGAGAGCCAAAACCGTACACCAGGTTACATTATCACATTATCAAACAACATACCTTGGCTTTGTTCTTACACTGTCTGTATACAGATGATGTACCAGTGCATCCCATTAATGGAAACCTATTAAGAGAAGACACAAAACTTTCTTGTACAAGCTTTGACTAAACAAATTTAAATCTCATAATGTCAGACATAAACAGTGAACCTGTGTACGCAAACCATTTTAACCAGTCACCTTATCACAAGGTCTAAATTGCATTAAATGAGCTGAATCAATAACTACTTTAACCAATTGTTGATGAAGTTCAGACCGTTACCCTCCAAACAAAGATTGCAAAGCAGTACTGACTAAGCCAACCAATGTTATGACTGAAAAGCTCTGCATACACGCACACACATCACAGGTCCGTCTTGTCGGGGATGTTCAGCACTGTGCTGGAGGGCATGCTGGAGCTGGATGTTCCCAGGCCGAAGGAAGCTGGCGTTTCTCTGTACACGGTCTCCAGCAGCTCCTCTGAGGAAGCTGAGGCGGAGGCTGAAGCGAGGCCTGGGGTAAAGCCTTGGGCTGGAACCGACTGTGGCTGTGCGGCTAAGGCAGTTTGGGAGGCCTGTGCGGTCTCTTCCTGGACCTGAGCGAGCCTCTCCATCTCTACATGCTTGCGGCCTCTTCTCTTGCCGAGGACCTTGACATAGTTGGCTGGGACAAGCCCTGTGGTCTGACTGTCCAGGCTGGCCAGCAGCCAGCCACGCAGCCTGGGCTGTTGGTCTGAACACAGGGAGGAATAAAAGGTCATGATCTGAGTTTGTCAAGTTCATAACCACCTCACAGAAAACCCCCAACAGAAACACTGATACTGTTGCAAGGCATTGCTTTCCATTATTGACAACAAATGTAATGATGAATTTTTCACAGAGTAGACTGAGTAAAAGGCTAGAAAAGTCAGTTTGACATCTTTGCAACAAAAACAGTGATGAAGAAGTTCTAAGTATGTACCTGTAAAAATTAAAACATTTTACAGAAATGAGCAAAATACAGCTCTCGTTTTTACCACCGATGTGTTTATTGGTTTGTATGAAGTGCAATCAATTTAGAGACTGTGCTTATATAAAACAAAAAAAACTACTCAATTTAAATTTGGCTGCTATCCCCTTCGATGTAGTCTTCTTGTGCAGGGATGCATTGCTCCCTGTGCTCCTGGCATGTTTGAAACACTCAACTAAAGTTTGCAAGTGTCCCATTCTGTTCTGTAGGTGCATCATGCGGCATCTCTGATGCTGAATCTCCTCAGTTGTCTCAAAAAGCCAACCCTTCAACTTGGAATTCATTTTGGGGAGGAGGAAGAAGTTGCAGGGAGACAAATCTGGCAAGACGGGTGAGTGGCAAGCAATGACGTGAATTTTCAAGTTCCTTTGCACCAAATTTTCAACCTTATGCGCTTCAGGCTGTTAATATCACAGTTGGGTCAGCTTCACACAGAAATTGATGTTTGCTCTCTGTGCAAGTTTGACATCCACAGTGAAATTTAATGAAATTAAAAATGTGCATCAGCGCTCCAAATGCGCCAGGAGCACTGGTACCGGTGTACGACTGTACAAGACTATGTTTAAGATCGCGATGGCAGTCCACTAAAATTCAGGTATGATTTAGGAATAAAACCACCTGATTGCACTTCATACTAACCATGCACTTTTAAATCATTTTCATTAAGACTGAGTTTCTACAACACAAACACAGAAAAGCTGTATGAAAAGCAACAAATAAACAAAAAAAAAATCTTAAATGAAAGACATCCCCAAAACAATAATTTTTAAAAGTACATTCTGTAACAATGTTATTGATTAACTCCCAACTCAAACACATTTTTCCACAGTTGTCATTGATACAGTGTGTTTATCACATTATTGGCTGTTATTTGTTGTACCACAGTAGCATGAAATCCACCAGAATACCTCAGACTAGTAATTGGAGGATTTGGATAAAAATCACTGTATATATTTAGTATGGTTAAAAAAAAAAAAAAAAAAAAAACTGCCGAGAAACCAACTCAGGTGACACAAAATGCAAAACATAAGAACAGAAAATGATTTCCAGCACTCACTAATGAGCTCTCACCTTTAGGAGCGAGGTTGAGCATGTCTCCAGCCCGAACAGAAATCTCCTCCTCAGACGCAGCTGAGAAGTCGTACTCTGCTCTGGCCACTACGTGGTCGTCCTCCCCGCTGGCCCAGTTCGTGGCTAAACACAGCACAACAAAACACTTTTACTTACTGCAGTTGGGAGTTTAAGGCAGACCACAGTTAAGACATTAATCTACATCTCTCTAACAGAACATCTTTTCTGTGACGTTTGGTGGAATATTTTCATTTGGTTTAAAGCAAACACAAAAAACATCAGCAAGAACAAACTTGCTTGTCTCAAGTACTGCTGATGTCAGGAACGAAGCAGTCTAACTGACACTATATGGATAAGTGCTTCTCAGCTGTTTGCTGCTGAGTCATTCCAAGTAACTGTCAAAGCCAGCAGTCTTTGTGGTAGGCTAGAAAAACAGCTGCACAGCGTGGGGCCTTGGTGATGAGGGCTGCTGGTCTAAGGTGCATAGGAGCCCCAATAAAGGCCCACTACAGGTGTGAGTTTAAAGAGAGACAGATCTAGGGACAGTTCTTGGTCCAACATGTGTGTGTACACGCGTAAATATATGAATGTGTGAATGTTCACAGTTCCATGTGCAAGTACCAAATGTTAAATACAAGCCTTACCGCTTTCTTCAGAATCAGAGCTGGAGCTCAGCAGTTTCCAGATGAGGTAGGGTCCACCCAGGACAACAGCAAAGAACAGAAAGATTGGCCAGGACTTCACCCTCTGGTCCTCCACCCCTTCTCCATACCCTGTAGATGAGGTTGTAGCCAGGGCTTCACTCGTGCTGTCGGCCCACAGGTCTTCAACGTCTGAGCCCCGCCCCAGGAGCCTCCGCAGCCGTCGGTACAGGTAGCGCAATGTGCGCACCAGAGCGAATGCTGACAAAACTCGAGTGAGATGTGCACGCAGCCGTGTCAAATGGTTGGCTACATCCAGCACAGCACGGAAACTGTTATACACTGCTGAAAATGTGGCGTCAAGCATCATGCTAACTGAGGCAAAGGCTTGGACGATGCTCTCAATGGACTGGAAGGCACCACGGCTGCTCTCCTCCGCGTGCTGCACAAACCGGCTGGGGGCGACAGGGTCTTCTGTGTGGGACAAGCGGCTGTACCCTCCCAAGCCGTAGCCACCACCGTAGCCACCGCCGTAGCCACCACTATAGCCACCACCGTAGCTGTAGGGGCTGTAGCCGCTGTACATGGAGCTCCCATAGGGGCTGTAAGATGAAGTGAAAGAGCTGTAGGATGGACGGTAGGACTGCTGGACGGGGCGAGGGGGCACTGGTGGAGCCATTCTGGTCAGGACAGGAGGACCAGCAGAGGACGAGGGGCCTGATGCAGGTCCAAAGTCTGTCGACCTGTGTGGTGAGAAAGTCGATATACATCTGTGGTGATTTTATGGGTAGTTTATTAAAGAGGAGAGAACCAGTGAGATATTCTTTAGCTGAGAATGTTAAACTAAACCTAACTAAACTCAATACCAGGAGATTGAAAATGATCCTTCAAGTTTTGCAAACATTACAGTTTTCAAATGTGGTATCAACACACGACAAAACTCTTGACAATTGGTCCTGACCACATTTCCCACAATAAAACCAACAACATTTTAGAAGGAAATATTGTACTTTCTACCCACCACAAGTGATGGCGGTGCGCATGGACGCAGACCCTTCAGGGTGAACGTTTAGCGTCTATCCCAGACGTGCATTCAGCAAAACTTACCAAATTAATGATCCTGAAGAAACGTTCTCTCATCTTGCCTGTACTACTGTGTATGAACAGCAAAATGACAAAAAACCTGATTTGATTGATCTGTCAGCTTTAGTTACTTTAAAGAAAACAAATTCACACTATTGATAAAGTACCAAGCTTTAAAATACAACACATTACAGTCGATTGCACCAGTTATTTCTAACCTTTGTGGCTTTTTACAACATATAGTTTGGCTCACACCTAAGACTGATAACAGCTCCACCAAACAGTGAGCTTTCCTTCAAAAGAAAAAAACAAATCTCAGATTGTTTTATTTCAATAAATGTTCAAATTGGGGCTAAACAACCAATCCATTTCACATTAAAATTAGTGAAATGCAAAGACTTAGAACATGTGTAAAGCATTTGATGGAGAGTTTCAACTTTCATGTGACAGTTGGTTTTACAAATTCTTACTTGTCTTACTTGTCTGGCAGGATGTCTCACGTGACTACTGCACTATTTTATTGTTGATTGCACATATCCATTTGTACATATACACCATGCCATATATACATGTAAATACCATAGTTTATATATATATATATGCACTTTATACTCTGCACTATTGCACTTCTGGTTGGACGCTAACTACATTTCGTTGCTTTGTACTTGCACACGTGTAATGACAATAAAGCTGAATTTAATCTAACATTACTCCACCACATTTTAATCCATTACATCTATCATTTTAAACTAAAGCTAAATTAAAAAATCACAATAAGGTTTTTTCCCCCTAAACCTTTTAGCCGTATTTAAAAATATCCAGTAGCTCATCTAAAAAACAAAAATATAAAAACTGAAAACAGACCTGTGAATCTTCTTTCCCCCCCTTTCCCATTAATCATGTAACAAGCCCTCAGGTTTATCTGCTGTGCCTGAATATAAAACTGTAGAAAGTATTTCAGACATGCAGCAGCTACAACAGCAACATGCTGCTGATACACTGGTGCTTCAATGTTAATATTCAGATCATTTATAATGGTGTGATCATACCAGGACTTCTGCCTTTCATACGGTTTTGTGCAAACACTTTTGTACTTCTTCTTAAGTAGGATTTTGAAGCAGGACTCTTGCATGCAATGAAGTATTACTACACTGTGTTCGTACTTTAACTTCAACTACTTTAAGTACGTAAAAACATTTAACATTGTTGCATTTTTTAAATTATTATTAAGGCTCTGTGTGGTATTTAAATTCATCAGTTAGCATTGCAACAAAAAACTGACAATTTATGAAGGGAGTCTGGCGATAAACAACAAGCACACGGGGGCACATGACGGGGCCTTACTAGACCTAGCTAACTAGTTAGCCGTTTGACTAGCATTAATGAATTACTTAATAAACAGATTAACTTTGTTAAAATGGCTGCCGTTGCCACATTATTCTGACACATACAAATGCAACTGATGAACTGGCAACATTATATATGTCACGACTTTCTGTCACTGTGTGGATAACGGCCCGTGCTTGTGATATAACTTTAGCATTAGCTAGCTAGCAACAACAACCGTGCGCGATCCGTAGCAGTCAACACAAGACAAGTGTTAGGACGAGGACTGCGCTAATGCTACTGTACCTGTAGTTTATAGGTGCACTCATGGCTCCTGGAATCCGCCTTTCCCACGGCTTTGGCGGAGGTTGTGGATCCATCGCAAAAATATTAGTCCACAAATAGAACTAGAGCGGAGCCTGTCCGGACCCTGTCCTCCGACTGCCTCTCCTGCTGCCTTCAGGGCTCCTCGTAATTCCCCAGTTCAGAAACTTAACTCGGGTGCCTGTGTGGATTTATTTTCTCTATAAGGACGGAGAGAGATGGAGATGGAGATGACTTATAATACTAAAATTGGATCTGTGTAGTATATGTGACTTGCTCTAGTGTTATTGCACAACTGCTGCGACACTATGACAGTAAACAGACATACCAGAACGGGCCGACGGATCCTAAACGCACCACCAATGTTTTCTGCATTACAGAGGGTTCAGCAGGGCATTTCAAAGACCCTTATTTGTTTACGACAGCGCCACCTACCGACTTGGATGATCGCTATAGGTGAGCAATTAATGGGTTTATTCCACTCAATAGGCAAGTTTTCTTTCTCTTTTTTTAATTTTATTTTTAGATAAATAGGGCAAAGAATCCAAATATGGAACTGTATGCTACCATATTACCAATCCTAGTGTTTGGGGATATGTGTAGTGAATGTGGGACCTATGGATACTTCGAAATCCAACATCTAAGCTCACCGAGAAACAACTTTTCACTTTGTAAACACAAACTGCTATCACAAGTAGAGGCTGACGAGGTACAATAAAGATACTACGGCAAGTAGGGGTCTGGACAACAGGTGAGGAGGAGACGTCATCATCATCATCATCATCTTCCACACACTCTGAGGTTGGGTTCCAAGCCCCAACAACCACAAGCCCGTATATTCTTAATACAAGGGCAGCTGACCCAAGATTGAAGATCACAACTAAGCTAAATACCTGTAATTTCCGCTTAACAAGGTGGAAAAAGCACTTTTGGAAAGTTTTCTAGAAGATGTGAATGCAGCTCTACGTACTGTCCCTACTGTAGCCAACACTGAGACCAATAGGGTGATAAACGCAACAGTAATCCCAGAGATGTTTGGCTACAAGATGAACACCATCAGCCATAAAAAGCAGTATCACCCCACGGAGAAGGAGGCTGGAGGCCAAGATCAGGGGGTGTGATGGAGAAAGGACAACCTAGGAAATACAACACGCTGTCCATACCTAAGGCACTAGAGACCGCCAAACTAAGGCTCACAGCTCTGACGACTCATTTGAAGAGGTAGAGAAGTAGAAGCCAAAACGACACACAGGATACTCTTCACCAAACCATCCAAAGTGTCCTCTCAGTGGGAGGGAAATGAGATGAGAACAGTACTGGAAAAGTGTTGGGGGGGAAGTGGGCATCACCGAACACAAATGCTCAGCGACTGATGGACCTGAAAGAAGACCACAGCAATCTCCAGAAACAAGACCCAGTGACCATCACAACTGATGAAGAAAATAACACATCTTTTGCTACAGACACCCCCCACTCCTAGTGTCACTCATTATTTCATTACCATTGTTATTGATAATTCCCTTAGATTTTGTAACTGTCTGCCAGACCCCTCATTCTCTTATCATTTGTTGTCAGTCTGCTTGATTCAATCACCTCATGTTTGTCATTGATTAGCAACTATATAGGTTATCTTCACAGACTCCCGCTCTGTGTTGGTAAGCCCACCGAATACCAAAATATTACTAAACACCCCACTACATCAAACTTCGCATGAGAACTACGGGTAAATTTCTTCAACACTATACATGAAAGAGTGTCAAGAATGAAGAGATGGACAACACCAGTCCCCAACATGATCCACACCTACTGGCTGAAGAGACTAAATGCACTCCATGGACGCCTAGCAGCACAAATGAACCACCTGCTAATGGTTGGGACCCAACTAGAGTGGTTCCTAATAATGAAGGATTCCCAGAAAGAAGTAATCCTGTCCAATTACCAGCCAATAACCTGCCTCTGCACAACATACTGTCAGTGAGATCAAGATGAGCAGGCACATGGTTCAGTACATGAGCAGGGCCCTTTTAGGAGTTGGTAACACCAGGGGAGCCAAGCACCAGCCACTGATGGACAGAGTAGTCACTGGAGACTCGAACATGTTTTTCACACTTGGTTAGTACAGCCTGTTCCCTCAAACAACTAAATGCATGTTTTATTTCTCTCCAACAGAGGGCGCTGTCGCACATCAGAAAAGATTGATGGTCCTTACAGCCTCTAATATTAAAGATAAAGGGGGCTTTCCCCCTTTGGCAGTACACTGTGGTTAAACAAAGAACACAGATTTTCTCTGATTTAACTTCACTGCTTTCACATTTTAGTTGAGGAGAAGCATAAACACTGTCCTGAAGTTTGGATTATGTTACATACCTGCAAAGCCTGCAGTAAGAAGTTGGAATGTGACATGTGAAAGAACAGAGGACAAAGTCTGCTGTCCTCGCTCTAATGCCCATTCATGTGAAGGTAACATATCATAACATATCTTTTATATTCCCTCTATGGACACAGTTCTATCAACACGCCTGTAAATGAGCTAAGATCTGATAACAGTTGTCTTTTGTTGTCTGAAGATTTGTTATAAGAAAATACACATCTAAGTCACATATATGTTACAACAGTTCAACCATTACACATAACTGACACTGACAGTAGACGGACTCTTGATTGCAGAGCAGAATGCTTATGAATCTTTTAAAATTTGTCATTTTGACCGGAATTGTTTTTTCTGACTTCCGTCTCCTTATATTGCTGATAAAGCAAATGAGATTTGACTTATAATAACATGTGTGAGTTTGATTTGAGGATGCATTCCTCTGTGAGCGCTCACTTGCTGTCAGAAATGTCACTAGTTAACCCTGCAGTAGGCTGTTTTTGAGGGGGCGGCCTGCGAGTGTGAGGAGGACTGTTTTTGTGCACAAGCAGGTTAGTGCAGAGGTGTACGGTGTGGTTTTTAGGAGGGAGTCCTGTGATGTCAAGTGTTATTGCGGAGGGTTGGGGAGCCGTGTGCACAGATGTCACGTTAGAGTCTCTCGGTACGACAACGGCAGATGCCTGTGTGATACCTGCGTAGGTGTGCGGCGCCGAGGCTGCCGTGCGTGACATCACAGCGTCTGGATATCAGGCCAAAAGTGGGACTCCAAAATGCCGACCTGTGATGTTGCAGAGTGTGGGAACCTGCTCGGGGTGAGGATAGTCCTGTTATTTGGGGTATGTCCTCTACCAACTGTGACCTTTTGTATTCTAATTACATCGGAAGGTCAAAAAATAATGAAAGATCAAGGACATCTATCGGCACGAGCTCCAGAATTGAACTCTATTACATTTAAATGAACTGGCTCCTGACTATATCTGGGTTAGATTTGCTCCTTTTGTTCCCCAGAGTAGAACTAAGACGTACAGAGATCAACTTTCTCATCTGAAACAGCCGTCCAGAGGAGGTCAGAACATCTGATTCAGTAGAAAGCTTCAAATCAACCCTTAACATGGATCTTGTCAGACTTGCATTTACATAGTTTTTATGTAGTTTCATGTAACTTACTGGGATTAAATGTACATTTTACTTTTATTGTGGTTTGTTGTATTTTATTGTAATATATATTATACTGTTATTATTTACTTTATTTTAGTTTATTTCTTTCTTCTTCTTCTTTTCTCTTTTCTCTTTTAAAGTAAAGCACTTTTAATTGCATTTTCTGTGTGAACTGGACCTGGTTTTACAGACATGCTCACTGTCTTGTTGAAACAGGACAGTGCCACTAAGTTAGATGGACGCTCTTGTTTAAAAAAATGGTTCCCAACTTGGGGTTGGGTTCCCCTGAGTGGTCACAAAATACCTCTGTGGGGTCACAAGGTGATTAACAAGATAGACGCACTTCATGACTTATATAAAAACTATTAAAGGAGAACATCACCTCTGCCTGTTAAACACGAGGCTACAGCCCAGAGACTGTTAGCTTAGCTTAGCATAAACAGTGGAAACAGAGGGAAACAGCTAGCCTGGGGGTGTCCAAACCAGCACTCCAAAAGTTCATAAAATAACAAGTTAAATCTGGTTTGTTTGATCCAAACAAACACTGAAAGACTGTCAACTCTATTATCTTAGTAATGAAGCAACTTCCCAAAATGTATTCACCCATTTACTTCCATTTTATGTACAGTATATTACTCCATTCTCGTAATTTCTTCATCTGTTTTTAGAATCTTTGGCTTCTGTTTCTGTTCTCTCTATTTTAATAGCAGATATTTTAAGCAATTTTGTTTATTTTACTATCTTATTGTCCTATTTATTATCCCATCTTATTTTATCTTATTTCATTTCATTTGCTCTCATCTGGTGTGTCCTCATTGCACGAGTTAAATGGAACATATTAAATGATGCATGCATTTTTTTATTGCATTTAAATGTTGTGTAGAAGCACTTGTGTTGCATTGTATAGATACTGTATAAATAAAGTCTTACTGACTGATTGATTGATTGTGAAAATGTCCAACTATTCTTTTAATTTAAACTATAAGGCCTAAATCAAGATCTAGATCCCGATCACACTACAACACATAACCCTTTACATAAACGTGTGTGATATTAATTAAAGTCGAGATACGTTAGGGGAACTGAAATACAAAAAAGTAAAGGCTCTGTTGAAGTTTTGCAGTTCTGAGAGAAACTGTCTAATCTCTGTAAGTTGGATCGGCAAGAAATAACCCCAACCAAGGCTGACCAAAACAAACACCCTTGTACCAGTCTTCTGTCTAAATGTTGCATAACACATCTTAGCAAAGACTCAAGGAAAAAATTGCTGGGGCAGCCATAAACTTTCCCTGTATATTCCTGCATTAATACAAGCAAAAAAAAATGCGGTGCTCATGAAAGAGTAGCTGACACAGTGAAACAGTGCAAAGATTCCATAACCTTTCACCAGTGCCCTTTATCTGTCGCATCTCTTTCGATTCCTAAGTACAAGTTTAGCCAACTGGTCCGACCAGTCCTGTGACTTCACACTGTTAGCATTCCTTCAGTCGCTCTGAAGTTCCAGTGTTCCTGCTGTATTTTTGCTGGGGAGCACGCTGGATTGGCCGGAAAGTGATGTGGGTACTTTTTTTTTTCTTTTTTACAAACGCTGGTTCCCT